GGTTGTTGTTATTGCTAATAGTCGTCGTCGTAGTAGTAGCAGTAGCAGTGGCAGTAGCAGTAGTAGAAGTAGTAGAAGTAGTAGAAGTAGTAGAAGTAGTAGTAGTAGTAGTAGTAGTAGTAGTAGTACGACCCCAGCCAGTTTGCATCTCGGAAACCGAACCTTGCATGTTGAGTCCGGATTTTCCTGTTTTAAATCAGTATTGTACTATTCCACTATGTATTGCTTTACTATTTACTACTTTACTATTTTACTGTTCTACCACGACCACCAGCCGTTTGCATCTCGGAGACCGGACCTTGCCTGTTGAGCCAGGATTTTGCTATTTAACTATGTTACTATTTCAGTACTGTACTATTCTGCTATAACTATTTTACTGTTTGCTACTCTACTATTTTACTATTCTACCATGACCCCATCCGATTGCATCTCGGAAACCGACCTGTGCAGTTCAACCTTTTTTTGTTGCATCTCGAAAACCCACCTTTGCATGTTGACCCCCAGAGCAAGCCACAAAGTTTGCATCTCGAAAACCGACCTGTGCATGTTGAACCTCAAATTTGCAAGGGGATGCCCGAAACCTACGACTACTACAACCACTACTGCAACTACCGCCACTACTGCCTGTGGCCTGCACTACGGTTTGCCGCTAGTTCTACGGCGACGACTACCAAAATCCGGACTGTTTGTGCTGTCAGCATAAATACCAGCACCACCACTGAACATGCAGTGTGGAAATAAACGCATACATGAAAAGCAAGAATCACTACAGCAAGAATCATCACCTTAGGAGCGCTTCATCAGGAATGCCGAAGCCTATCGAAAGAATATAGCGGGGTGGCCAACAGAGAGGGAATCCTGTGCGGGATGAAATCGCCCACATCACTTCTGATGGCGTGCTATAGGAACGTCACGTGATGACCCTCGACACTAGTTACGTGTTGTTGAAGCAAGCGGCACTGAGCTTCCGCACGCCTCTGACACCGGAGTCCTGCGACTCGTTCACGATCAGCAGTGGAAATCCCTGGCTGAGGCAGTGATTCAAAGGCCTGTACCTCTTGCACTACAAAATAACAACAATCACGCAAATGCAGATTTGTCCAACTGCTCTAAGAAGGTCAATGAACGTGAACCAACAGCTCTACATAGACTAAACCAGAAACCTCGAGCCCCAACTAGGACAGCCTAGAATCCTCATCTAGAAATCCGAAAGGGCCTGCTGTCGTGTCCAGGAGTCCATCATCTCCGGCAGCTGAATCCTCACATGGGTTGTAGCCAGAGAGGAGCTGCTTCCATCTCAGATTCTGTTTGGAGATAAGTGATAAAGTTTCAATGGCGCAACACCGGTATCATGTAGCAAGCCCACCTCCAGAAAAAGTTCATAAACCAGGCTGCAACAGAACCTTGCAAATATTCGCCAATCCTGGCATAAACACGCAAACACGTAGAGGCAAGTGCCATGTCTTAGCTGGCCATGGCTCCAGGATGTTCCAGATTATCAGTCGGGTAGATTGAAGGAACATACGGTATTATGCGTTGCATATTACATACTGCATATCATGTAATGTATTGATATATTGATATATCTACATATCTATGTGCTTATATATTCACATCTTCTTGAACCTTAGTTATGTAATAGTATGTTAACACAGGTGCAAATTCCAAACTGGTATATTGCAAGTTCAATATTGTCGATTCTATATTGCGTGTTATATGCGTGTAAACAAATAAATGAATGAATATATAAATATAAACATACATACATACATACATACACACATTCATACGTACATGCATACATACATACATACATACACATACAATACGTCTCTCATACAGTACGACCTTCCTGACATGCCCAAAACAAACATCAAGTTCCGAGCTGGCATTTCTGGCATTCTGCGCATGCACAACAGGTGTTTGGGATGAACTGGCGCCGCCACAGAAGATCAAGGAGTGCGGTTGCTGAAGCCGGAAACCTTGCCACTGAAAGAACAAAAAAAAGTGTGCTAGTGTTGGCCACGCTTCCCCGAGACCTCTTCCCAGCATTTCCACAAGTCCGATGAGGCAGTGTTCTGGTACGCGAAGCGCTTCATGTAAAGACCTAAACCTTTTCGAAAGTTGTCAGGACCTAGCACTCCACTCAGCATCCGGACGATGGATCCACCCTTGCAGTAGGAAATGGCGTCGAAGACCTTCAGCACTGTGAAAAAACAACGACCAACAAGTAATCAACAACCAAACAACAAAAACCACGCACAATCGACGAACGTAAGAACACTCCTAGCCATATGTGCATGGTGACCCAAAGCACTATGCACCTGAAAGCAGTATATGCAACGACAGCAATCGTTTATCATCCCTACCTCATCGACCTCCTTCGCGTTGCGGATGGGCACCTTCCGGGTTGGGATAGCATGGATTCAGGGCATTTTTGCTACGATGCCGCACATGTGCAACCGGTCTGAAAACAAGGATTGCACCCAATCCTCTACAACAAATCAGCACCTCCCCGCAGCACCAAAACCCGCAAACCTCAACCCCAACGCCCGGGTAGAGGTTTGTTTTTGCGGTGTCCGTGAGCATGGCCGCGGGCCGCAGAGCCGCGGGCGCGGGGCCGCGGGCCGCGGCGCCGGCAAAAAAGCTGCTATTGACAAACCCCAAATGGTTGACAACTGAGAAACCCAAACCCTAAAAGCAGATGTTGGCGGACCCAACGCCTGCAAAGAAGCTGCTGTTGACAAACCCCAAACCCTAAAAGGAGATGCTGAAACCTACACAAAGGGAATGGTTGGGAAACCCCATCCCTAAAAGGAGATGTTGCTTGACCGAAAGCCTGCAAAGAAGCTGCTAGTTGACAAACCCCAAACCCTGACCGGAGATGCCGAAACCGTAGAGAAAAGAAGTGGTTGGAAAACCCCAAACCCTAAAAGGAGATGTTGCTTGACCCCAGGCATGCCAAGAAGCTGTTAGGTGACAAACCGCACCAGATATCGTGAACATGCCCGCTCATTTGGCGATTCACGTCGCATGATTTGGCGATTCCGGTTTATCATATATCATAAACTGCCCTGTCATTTGGCGGTTCCGGTTCATCATATCTCTTAAACATGTCCGCTCATTTGGCGATTCGGGTTCATCATATACCTTAAAACCCCCCCCATCATTCGGCGATTCCGGTTCACCATATCTTAAACACGCGCCCTCGTTTGATTTAGAAAACAACGAAAAACAGGCACAACTAACACAAAGCCCATAGCCATAGGAACCAATTTGCAATTCCGGCTCATCATAACCAGAGGACCAGTTAACGAGAGGACCAGACGAACAGAAGACCAAGGAACTGCGACACGAAGCACGCAGAGGACCAGAGGACCAGGGCATCAGGGGACCAGAAGACTACAGGACTTGGGAGAGCCAGAAGACCAAAGGAACAGGGATCGGGTGGCCAGGCGACCAACGAACGCGAAGGCCAGGAGGCTAGAGAAACCCCAGGGCCAAAACAAAGACGTAGCAGGAAGCACGGGACCAAGAAACCAGAGGACCAGGGGAGCGCAGGACCAGGAGACCACGGGACCGCGGAAGCACGGGCCCACCGCAGGACCAAGACCGCGGGACCAGAGGACCACCTTCATGCCAAACCTGTAAAAAAAAGCCCGTGGCCCGTGACAAACCCCGAACCCTAAAAGGAGATGCTGAAACCCTAAACAAAAGGAAGGGTTGGGAAACCCCAAACCCTAAAAACAGATGTTGCTTGACACAAAGCCTGCAAAGAAGCTGCTAGTTGACAAACCTCAGACCCTAAAAGGAGATGCCGAAACCCTAAACAAAAGGAATGGTTGGGAAACCCCAAACCCTAGAAGTACATGTTGGTTGACCCAAAGCCTGCAAAGAAGCTGCTCGGCAAACCCTGCTGCTGCTGCTGCTGCTGTTGTTGTTGTTGTTCGTGGCCGCATGGCTGCGTGGCCGCGGGCCGCTTGCCGCACGTAGATAATACAATTGTGAATTTGCCACAAAGGCTCGAAGAACAGAAACGAGACAAAAATGTTTCGAAAAGTCTATGGAAACTGATGTTCGATTGGGGTTTTATCTCATAGGTCGAACTCATCCGCTTTTTACAGACTTTCGAAGAATGAACTGCCTACTCAAAAAGCAAACCCTGAACCCCCAAACCCGAAAACTGAAGACCTACACCCCAAACCCTAAACCTGAACCGCAAAGTCTTAAACCCGAAAGCTTAAGCCCAAAAAGCTCTTCAAAGACAACCGTGACACGGTTTAGGGGTTTAGGGTTTAGGGGTTTGGGGTTTAAGGTTTAGGGTCCATCATGTTGATGTTGGACTGCCACTACCCTGCAACCTGCGGTATAGGATCTTAATTGAGGCACCTAAACCCTAAGCCCTAAACCCTAACCCCTAAACGCCTGGTGTATGACGACGAACACTTCTACGGCTATCGCTGTTCTGATCAATGACGGTTGTACTTGCGGAGTTCCACAGCCCTCAAACAACCCCAAACCCCAAACCCCGAAGCCCTAATCCCTAAACCCTCAACCCCAAACCCTAATCCCTAAGCCCCAAAACCCCAAAACCCTAATCCCTAAACCCCAAAACCTAAGCCTCAAAGACCGTCGGCCTTGCTGCCTTTGCCTGTTTCATCCTGGGAAAGACTCCTCCACAGGCGCTTGAGGCGTGGGGAGGAAGGTTTATCGATGGTATCAAGGTCTTTTGCATTGGGCTTCGATCTTCCTTTCTATCAAGGAAACTACAGGTTAGGGTACATAGAGCTTCTATAAGGCTTAACCCTAAACCCTAAACCCTAAACCCCTCTAAACCCCTCTAAACCCCTAAAAAGGGTACATAGAGCTTCTATAAGGCTTCTATAAGGTATGTAGACCTACTGTCCTAGAATTATATATTCCTTTCTGGGACCTAAGACAACAAAGCACTTTCGCAAGGTCGGGGGTTCAGGATTCTCGGGCAAGGTTCAAGCTTTAGGGCTCAGAGGGTGCAAAGACCCTAAAACCCCTAAAACCCCTAAAACCCCTAAAACCCCTAAACTAATGAACCCCTACAACCCCCAAACCCTAACACTTAAACCCCTAAACCCCCAAACCCTAACGGCTGGGAATTGTAGATTCCAGCGACCCTAAAGCTCCGCACTCAAACAACATACCTCGAGTTTCTTAGAGTTTAGGGCTTAGGGTTTAGGGCTTAGGATTTTGGGCTTAGGGTTTAGGGTTTAGGGCCTTGGGTTTAGGGCTTAGGGCTTCGGGTTTAGGGTTTTCGGTTTAGGATTAGGGTTCGCATTGATCACCCTATAAAACATCTTCAACTTCATAATAGAGATCATCCTATCATATCAAGTGCATTCCTTCATTCAGGGGGGGGGGCTTTTGGAGTTCTGGATATCTCCAGAGTCTGCAAAGCGAACCTTGCGGATGTGCGCTGTCGACTCACAGAAGACAGCTACCCGTGTTGTACCGTAGACAGTTCAACCGTATGAAACCCCTGTGACAAGCATCCTCAAATTCACAGAACTCCTGTGCTGGCAAGCTCCTTCAAAACCCTACACCCTAAACCCTAAACCCTAAGCCCTAAACCCCCTTCAGCCCATACAGGCTGAGGTTGCACTGAGGCGTCCTCCGGCGGTAGCTGAACTGGCCAGATATCCTGGCTCTCCCCGCACCCAGAGAACCATATCCTTTATTTAAGGAGGGTTTAGAGATTGGAGTTTGGAGTTTAGGGTTTAGGGGTTTAGGGTTTCCCAGAGAACCCAATATCCCCCAATTAAGGAATATACCTTAAATCATAATATTTAAGGCCCCTATAATTTAGGGCATACTCCTTAATTAAGGGGTACTGGGCTCTCTGGGCACCCTGAACTCTCAACACTAGACTCCTAAACCCCACCTTAGCGTTTAGGATCTAGGGCTTCTCTAACCGCACAACCCTAAAACCCTCAACCACAAACCCTCAAGCCTGAATCCCTCACCCACAAACCCTAAACCCCTAAACCCTAAACCCTAAACCCTCCTCACCCACAAACCCCGAACCGTCCCCCGACTTTCAGACGATCCCAGAGAGCCCAATATCCCTTAACTATGGAATATACCTTAAATCATAATATTAAGGCCCCTATAATTTAAGGTCTAGTCTTTAATTCCTTAATTGAGGAATATACCTTAAATTATAGGGGCCTTAATATTATAATTTTATTAATCCAAATATATTCCTTAATAGAGGGGTCTTAGACCATGGCTCTCTTCGAGGCTTTGGCCTCAGGGTCTGCTCGAGGGGCTCCGGGGCTTGAGGGCTTTGAAGTTTCGGGGGTTCAAGAACTCCGGGGCCCTAAATCCTAAACAGGGTTTAGGGCTTAGGGCTTCGGGCTTAGGGCTTTTTTCTTTTTTTTTTTGACGTGGGCTTAGGGTTTAGGGTTTAGGGTCTTCGAGCTTAGTTCGTGGTGAGGGTTCCGGATTTAGGGCTTGAAGCTGAGGGATTGAAGCAACCCTGAATCCTAAACCCAAAACCCCCTAAACTGTGAGTTTGGGGTTTGGGGTTTAGGGTTTAGGGTTTTAAGGCTTTGGGTTTTAGGGAAAAAGGGTTTAGGGTTTAGGGTTCAACTTCGGGGGCTGTTGGAGACTGTTGGTATTCAAACCAGGACTGCACGAGAGCTTTCACTAGAACTGCGAGGATGAGGGTTTGGGGCTTAGGGTTTAGATCCCTATGTCAGGGAACCCTGGTATTCGGAAACCCGCAACACTTGGGCTTATAGGGGTTATAAAGCTTCAAAGGTTCCTTTTTGAGGGTTGCTTCAAACTTAGGGTTTAGGGTTCAGGGTTTAGGCTTTTTCAGGATCTAAATTTCTACAAGACCCTGAAGCATGAAACCTGATTCCTCGTACCCGGAACCCCCACGTCGTTGCAACTTGAGGTCGAAAAACCCATGGACGCGACACACAAGGGAGGGAGGGGCATAGGGATTATAACTACAACCCTAAACCCCTAAATGCCTAAACCCCTAAACCCTAAACCCTAAACAGATTATAGGGTTTAGGGGTCGTGGGCTTCGTAAGCCTTTGCATTTTTGCATTTTTAGAGTTCAATCTTCAAGGTCTAAGGCTTCGGATTTCCAGGGTTCAGGAGTTTCGGGTTTAGGGTGTACCTTAAACCCCAAACAACCTACCTTTTTAAAGGA